GGGAAAGAGACTTGACCCCAGAAGACCAATGAGTGGGCTGTTAGCATCACCCGGTGGGAAACAATGCAGTCAGGACAGAGGCTGATAAGGAAGGCATGGATGTGAGAAAACTTCTGAATCAGAGCAGCTGGCGATAAATGCTCTGGAAGAAAAAGAAGCAAGAGCACAGTCAGAAGATGCAGGCCCTGGGCTGGGCAGCCTGCTCTTTGAGGCATTCGCCAAGCAGCTATCCATGTGAGTGATTTAGCATCTCTCACCAGGAAGCTCCCTGGAGAGCTCAGCATGCAGGCAGGTCTGAGGAGGTCAGATGGCTGTGCAGAGCCCAAGGTAGGATGAGCAGTGGCCAGGGCTCCTTTCCAGTACCCTGGACCCAAGTTTTGTGCACTGCTTTGGCTCCAGAGGTAGCTGATGAAGCGCTCCGCTCTTCACGACCTGTTAGATCTGCTCAGCTTCCTGGCTCTCATCTGGGGAAATGCGCCCAGGTGAGACCAGGGGAATTGATGCAGATTCATCTCTGACTTAGGATGTTATTCATTTGTACTGATAGTATGATGTAATGGTTAAGTGCGTGGGTGATTAGCACCAAGGAGACTGGGTTCAAATCCCAGATTCAACACTTAACTGTGTGACCTTGGGTAGGTTACTTAAGTTCTCTGTGCCTCCATTTTCTAATCTGTAAAACAGAGATGATAATAGTATCTACCTATAAGGATGATGTAAGAATTAAATGAGATAATTTGTTTATGAAGAGAACCTATTACAGCTTTTAAGATATATTAAGTCCTATGTATGTATTTAAATTGTTTGATTATCGTGTTTAAATCAAATGTGTTTTGGATATTTAATACTGCTACTATTTCCATTTTCTATATGAGAAAAAGTGAGCGCAACAGAATGCAAGCTTCATATGAACAGAGAGTTTGTATCGCTCCCATTGTATCCCCAGTCCATAGTAGGGTACCTGGAACTGTATTACTTGGTATTTACTGAATACTTTTTGAATGAGTGAATGATTGGTACTCCACCTCCAGGTTACATGGGGTGTACAGCTGCTAATTCAGAAGCACTTTGGTAGAGTTGTTCCACGGCCAAACAACTTCCATTTCGGTTTTTAGTAATTTTCCCACTTAACGTGTCAATATTAGCAGTAGGTGTCTAAAAAAGAAAAAGTTAAAGCACTGGTTGCACACTTGAGGTCTGCTCTAAAGGGCTATTTGGCAGCAAGGAAGAGAAATCTGCCCAATCCAGCTTAATAAAGTGTTTTTTACATTGGAAGAACACAGGAGAAACTCATTGAACCCACCTCCAACAAGTCCAGTCAATATGCTTGGGAACTAAGAAATCAACAGGCAGTAACTGCCCCCCATTTCTGACTCTTAGAGCCTCCTAATTTCCTGCCTCTATGTTTTCTGTGTGTCTGCTCCATTCTCTCAGAGACTGGTTTCCTCTGTTTCCACATACACTATTATGGCTGCCCCAATACACAGGAAGCGAGAAAGAATCTGACTGGCCCAGCTTTAAGCAACTGTTCCCTACTCCCATCTAATCATCTATGACTAGGAGGTAGGATTGAGGGATTCAGAGGACTCCTGCTTTTGGAAGAGGATATCCACGAGAAGAATATGAAGGGCACCTCTAGAACATGGTCCTTTCCCCGGAAATTAAATAAAACTGATGAGTACTGACAAAGTATCTGTCCTTATGGGTGAGCTTTCTTTTTTGTGAGTAGGATGTAAGCCCAGAAATTTACCCAGAGTCTTAGGCACATCCTTTCCACAGGCACTCCACCAGGCTTAGCTGAGTTCAGCTCCTGCCTGCCTGGTTTCTGCTACTTCCAAGCTCAGTTTCCAGAACCCAGTGGCCTTCACCAGAAGATCTGATCATGCCAGGAAAACAAGGACCCAAGAGCTGTTTTTGACTACCTAACATAACCCAAGAGAGGAGATAAACCTCTCATAGAGCTGTGTCAACAGACCTTCCCTCCCAGAATTGTCAGATCTCAAGGATAGGGCTTGGGATGAAGGGGTAAGACCAGGTTTGGGAAAATAACCTATTCTTCTAGCCTGTGCTTTATATTAGCTACATTTTGCAGTGTTTCCCAACTTTACATTCAGTAGATATAGCTGGGATCCTCACAATGACCCTGCAGCTCTGAAATTTTTATCCTCATTACACAGCTGAGAATTATTGAAGTTGGAAGAGGTGAGGTGACTTGTCCAAAGTCACACAGTTAGGTGTTGATCTGAAACTGGAACCCAGGTCTGTTGGATGCGCAGCCCAGAATTCCACTGTACTGCTACCTGGCAATGGTTTGGGGAGTGAGATTGTATCTGGGGAAAATATAGAGAAGGCCAAAACTTGCAGGTGGCTGGAGATGCAGAGAGTTAATTCAGCATCTCAGCCCCTCAGGGATGGATGGCCTGATGAAGCTGGTCTGGGACTGCAGAGAATGAGGAATTGATCTGCCATTTCATGTGAAAATGGATTGTAGCCCCAACCTGTGTGTGTCAATGGAGCTGATTAGCACTTGTGTGAGTCTCCAGCCATCGACTGGCAGGTGAGAATCATTCTGGGAGCAGCAGGGAATCAGTCCTCTCCCACCTCCATCCCCAACAGCTTCCTCCCTCCACAGAGGTTTCCTCCCCCTCCCTGCTACCTGAAGTCTCCAAACCTCCTCCAGCTGCCAGGCCTAATGTGTGCTCAGAGCTCCTCTACCTGCTTTTGACCAAAAGAGGAGGCATGGCTGGTACTTACCTCATTCAGCTATGCTAGGTGCAGCTGGTAGAAAGGCAGCTGGCCTTTCCAAAATGCACTGCCTGCTTGGAGGATAAAGTGTGAGTGAGTGGGTGCAGGGTTCAAGTTGGAGCTTACACCATGCAATGGAAAAAGCAAGGGCTCTGACACATATTGACCATGTGACCTTAGGCAAATCATCTACCCCTCTGGGTTCCGGTTTCCCTATGTATATGTGTGAAGGTTAATTTTGTGTGTCAACTTGACTGGGCTAAGAGATGCCCAGATAGCTGGTAAAACATTTCTGAGTAAACCTGTGAGGGTGTTTACAGAAGAGATTAGCATTTGAATCAGTAGACTGAGTAAACAAGGTCTACCTTCACCAGTGTGGGTGGACATCATCCAATCTGTTGATAGGCCCAAATAGAACAAAAAGACGGAGGAAGGGTAAATTCTCTCTCTCTCTCTCTCTCTCTCTCTCTCTCTCTCTCTCTCTCTTCTTGAGTTGAGACATCCATTTTCTCCTGCCCTTAGACATCAGAGCTCTTGGTTCTCAGGCCTTCGGACTCAGGCTGAATTATACCACCAGCATTCCTGGTGCTTCAGCGTGCAAACAACATATTGTGGGACTTCTCGGCCTCCATAACCATGTGAGCCAATTACTATAATAAATATCCTCATGTATGTGAATATGTATATCCTATTGTTTCTGTTCTCGGAGAGCCCTGAATAATACAATACGGGATAAAAATAGCTTTCTCACTGGATTGTTTGGATTAAAAAAGGAAGTCTGTGGGGACTTCCCTGGTGGTGCAGTGGTTAAAAATCTGCCTGCCAATGCAGGGGACACGGGTTCGAGCCCCAGTCCGGGAAGATCCCACATGCGGCTGAGCAACTAAGCCCGTGCACCACAACTAGTGAGCCTGCGCTCTAGAGCCCGTGAGCCACAACTAATGAGCCCACGTGTCACAACTACTGAAGCCCATGCGCCTAGAGCCCGTGCTCTGCAACAAGTGAAACCACTGCAACGAGAAGCCCGCGCACCACAACGAAGAGTAGCCCCTGCTCGCTGCAACTAGAAAAAGCCTGCACACAGCAACAAAGACCCAATGCAGCCAAAAATAAATAAATAAATAATAAAATTAATTTATATTAAAAAAAAAAGGAAGTG